CCACAAAATAAACTAAAAACTCAATAAAAAAAAAACAGTAATAATAGCTCTTCAATCCAACCCACAACTCAGCCAAAGAGAACACAATTTAATAAACGAAACTAATAGAAATAATATAAAGAAAAGAAAGAAGAAAGAAGAAAGAAAATAGATACAGGGGATATAGACTAGACAATAGTCTAAAACCCTATAAAAGAAGAAAGAAGAAGAAGAAGAACACAATTTAAGGCGAAAAAAAAGGCACTCCTAAACCTGCTTGTGTTTCTCCAAGACCAAACACTTCACCGTAAAACAAAAACTGCATATATGGTTTTCTAGCCGATTGCTAAACATATTGATACTCCTTTTTAAAGGTCTACATTTCCTGTCTTTCCCGGAGATTTTACAACTCGTCAAACATTCCGAACTTGATAGATTTTCTTACGATTTCCTTCACTCCTTTTTTTTTTATTTCCTTAATTTTTTTTTTTTTCAAGATCACATAGACTTTAATGTTTCAGACTAATTCTACAGGGAGTGGGAAGTGCTCGCGCCCATTTCTCGACCCTCCACGTCCCGAACGCCAAGCAGCGAACAGAAACGGCGAAAAAGACAGGAGAGGAAAAGAGTTTGAGGGAAAATAGAGTAAATATGGTCTTCATCTAGAAAAGGCCTGGAGAGCAAAAGAGTTCGAGGGAAAATAGGGAAAATCAGGTCTTCATGTGGAAAAAGGCAGGAGAGGAAACGAGTTCGAGGGAAAATAGGGAAAATTGGGTCTTCCTCTGGAAAAAGGTAGGAGAGGAAAAGAATTCGAGGGAAAATAGAGAAAAAATAGTCTTCCTCAGGCGAGCGTCTCACCAGCCCCGTCACGCCTCTTCGCCTCCTCCGTCACAACCTCCCCTTTTTCTCTCTCTTCCTCGTCTCCCTCTTCTTACCTTCCATGAAACCAGTCTTTACAGATATCACACTGTATCATAAACCGGGACAGATCCGTTGACTGTCCACATAAACAATAAATAACGTCCAACGCCATTTTGCTCAAAACAACACGCACGGCTGGTGGATACTGCACTAAATTATTTTCATTTTTTTAATATTTTTATCCCTATCTATTTCTTCCGTATGATGAGAATTGTTATATTCCTTTTTGTTTCAATTTCGATAATGGTTTTGTTTGGTGTGCTTTTATTTTATGATAAATATAAGTTTTCCAAAATAGCAAATGCGTCCGAGAATTGTTCCCTTCGAAATGCAAACTTTTTTAACAGGAATAAAAAAAACACATAACTTATAATTCTATATAAAAGCATATAAGGCATGGCATACAACATATAAAACGTAATAAAAACCAATGACACGTTTAAATAAGACATTTGGAAGACATCTACCTCCCAAAAGTAACAGGAATAAAAAAAAACACATAACCTATAATTCTATATAAAAGCATATAAGACATGACATACAACATATAAGACGTAATAAAAACTAATAGCACGTTTAAATAACACTTTAGAAGACATCTACCACCCAATAGTAATATATAATAAATAACAAAATAAAATAAAATTGCAGTTAACAATTCATGGCAATAATCTAAAAGTCTAAAATTTTCTGATAGAATATCTTCCATTTTAGTTTTATGTCAAACACCATTTCTGATGCGAAGTTCATAAGAAAATAACCAAGACATTCTTGTTTTGCCAATGGGCGTTTTTTAGCTTCTCAGTGAGGAAGTTGAAAGTGGATGTTTGATTAACTATTTGAAAAGCCTAAATACTGTGGGCTTTTATCATTGATATTATTACTGTGGTTATCATTTTTATGATCATTAGTAGTAGTAGTAGTATTAGCATGATTATTATTGTAATTATTATTTTTTTTTATTATTATTATCATTATTATCATTATTATCATTATTATTGTCACTATTATTATTATTGTTATTATTATTATTATCATTATTGTTATTATTAATATTTTCATTTTTATTATTATTATCATCATTATTGTTATTATTACTATTTTCATTATTATTATTATCATTATTATTATTGTCATTATTATTATTATTATGATCATTATTATTATCATAATTATCGTTGTTGTTATTAATAATAATATTATTATTATTGTTATTAGTAGTAGTAGCAGTAGTATTACTACTATTATTTTTACTATTATTATTGCTATAACTATTATTATTACTATTATCATTATTATTATTATCATATTTATTAGCATAATTATTATTATCATTACCATTATCATTATTACCATCACCATTATTATTAGAATGATTGTTAATATTATTGTTATCATTATAATTATCATTATTATTGTAATTATTATTGTCATTGTTATTATTATCATTATCCAAACTCAAATACTATCAGCATTCATCATTGCTATTATAATTATTATTGTTATTGTTATTATTATTATAATTATCATTATTATCATTATTATTACTGTTATCATTATTATTATTATTATTACTGTTATCATTATTATTATTATTATCATTATTATTATTATTATCATTATTTTTATATTATCATCATCAGTATCATTGTTATTACCAATATTATCATTTCATCATTATTATTATCAATATTATTATTCTTATCCTCATTATTATTATTGTTATCAATTATTATCAATATGATTTTTATTACCATTATCATTATTATTATTATTATCATTATTATTATTATTACTATTATTATTATTATTATTATTATCATTATTATTATAATTGCTATCATCATTACTATTAATATTAGTATTGTTATAATTATCATCATTATTACTTTTTATTATTATCAGTATTATCATTATCACTATTATTATTATCTTATCATCATTATCATTATCATTCATATTATTATTACATTTATTATCATTATTAATATCTTTATTATTCTTAACACTATTTTTATTACTATCATTATTATTATTAACATCATCAATATTATCATTATTATCATTCTCATCATTAATATAATCCCTATCATTATTATCCTTACCATTACTATAATTACCATCATTATCAATACTGTTACTATAATTATCATCATAATAATATAATCATTTGCATTATTATCCTTATCATTATTATAATTACCATCATTATCAAGACTGTTACTATAATTATCATAATTATCATTATTGTTACTAACAATTAATATTATATGTATTTATGGGTATATGTCTCTTTTAACTACATCGATGTATACAGTATCAGCTGTGGCGGATCCAAGGGGGGTAGGGAGGGAATGTAAATACAGATGTGCTGAAAATTGCAATAAAATGTTACATGACACTGTATGTAGATATATTTTTCATATATAAACTTGCAGGAACCGTATTTTCCCTACCATGAGAGCTTGGATCACATACTTTATACAGCAGCAACAGAATGAAAGTAATAGTTTGCTTGAAAATGCATGGAAATGTCTCTAAAATACATTTCTTTTTTACAGGAAGGAATTTACATGGAAACTGACGAAACAACAGGCTAATAGGATATTAGTTATAGTAACCGGATGTACTAATTAACCATTCCATTACAATATGGAGTATAGATCGAAACTGACATAACTGTCTCATAAGATCTTAATAAACACAATCATTAATAAACCCGAAAAGAAATGATATTGCCAGCTAGAACCAGTTCAGCCAAAACAACACCGTCTTCAATGATATGCAGAATAGCAGATGCGTGCAGGAGGCGACGGGATGCAGCAGTTGCGTGCACATTTGATTACAGGTTATGAGAGCGATTACATCAGTTGCGTGTATAACAGACGTCAACTATTCTCCTTCAAGTAATTTCTTTTCTACTATACTGATCATTTTTTATTTGAGGATGTTGGATAAAGCGCAATTCCCGTTTAAAAAACATATAATGGAGTTCAAAGTCACGCAAAGGAAGAAATGTTAAATGGCACTGTATGGTAAATATACGGGTGTGTCGCCTGTTGCCTGTGAAGAATGTGGACCTACACTCATTACGCAATATTTGTAATTTTGCTTAACACCAAGTTCGAAAATTTCTAATGAATTTCTGTCATCTTTTACATGTAGGAAATAAAATTCATAGGTGTACATTAATGATGTTACTCATACTGTTGCAAAATCAGTGACGATATGTATATAAAGTGCGTTATTAAAAACAAATGCCTTTAGTATTGTGACACTGTTTTACTGTTATTGTTACCATTGGGATTGTCACATTTGCAAGGTCTTGCTCTCTGTGAAAGAATATGTGAGATACACAATTTAGCTCTATTTGCATTTACCGCTTAAAGTTCACAAGTTGATGCAGACCGAAGGCATTGCAGTATCGCACATCGACACATTCGCAACTATTTTAACTAGCAGTTGGTTGCAAACAATAGTTGGCACTGCGAATATTACGTATTTACACACACACACACACACGCACACGCACACGCACACGCGCACGCACACACACACATACACATACACACACGCACAATTGCATGTGCAAGGTCTATATACTTTTATAGATATTATGTGTGTGTGTGTGTGTGTGTGTGAGAGAGAGAGAGAGAGAGAGAGAGAGAGAGAGAGAGAGAGAGAGAGAGAGTATGTATCTATACATATAAAGGGATAAGCTATAATGACAAGCTTTACTGAAAATGAGAATTACCATTAAATCAAAATGTTTATCGTAGGAATGTTTTTCACCAGTGTCACCCCTGTTTTACCATCCGCTATTTTTTTTCTTTTCTTTTCATATTATATATAAGTATTTGTATATCATATAAATGTATATAGTATGTTGGATTACCTGTATATTTATGTAAATACAGTGCATTTAATTATTGCATGTGATAGACAACTCGCGATAGCCTGCAGATAAGCCTAAAACCAAGCCATTTTCCCGAGCGCTATCTCGCCCGGGCCAAAGATCGCCTTGGCCGCGCTCTCCGGCTCGACCAATCAGCGCGCGGATCAGCCAGCGCCTCGACCAATCAGCGCGCGGAACGGCCAGTGCCTCGTCGCCTTCCCTTTCACTAAACTTCAGACGCAACTTCAGTCGCAGCCATGGCACAGGTCGGAAAGGTCGCGTCACGCTTCGCTGGCCAGGTCCTCAGCCGGTCTTTCATCCCGAGGACGACCGTCGCAGCAAGACAAGTGGGGACTACGAGCAAGTGAGATGACTGTTTTGTTTTTACATGAATTAGAATCATATTTTCTAGTTTTCAGGGAGAAGTTTCGCCGTGGGGAGGTCTTGTGACTTGACCTTGCCTATCATAGTAGGTCAGGGGCAATAGGTACGGTTACTTGTATATTTCATCTTTTATGCTTCAAACTTCTGATTAGGTGCCCGTTTATCATAAGAACGAAAAGAAAATAAAGACTTTGTTCCATGTCCTTGTGGCGTGTTAAGTAACTTCCTTGCTGAGACCACTTAAAAGGCGCAGATTCAACTACGCTTTATTACCTAACACAGGTATATAATTAACAAATATGTAAGATAAGATACGCAAATATCTACCAGCTACATTATAATTCACGTTACTCAACTTGATTCAGTATTATACAACTCAATACGCAATCTCAGAATGAGTCTGCATCTTTCAACCTTGATAACTAAAGAACATGGGATATCCAGCCTAAGAATAACACTATTTGTGAGACTTGAATGAAATGTATTGTAAAATACACTTGGGTCTGCAAGAAGATATTGGTCATGATTAATATTCTTGGCTGAGAAATTTTGGACTTCGGCCAAACCTGCCCTTGACTTATAGCATTAGGTAACTTCCATACAGATCTAAGGATATTTTACCCTTAGTTATGTTTGTAAAATCTGCACAGGGAAATACTCATTCCTTTTAGTTTTTTTACTTTTTTATTATCCTTTTAAATCACATGACTTTGCTGTGGTGAATGTATGCTAATTATACAAAGTTTATGTAATAGTGTATGAATCTAGCCAAATAAATAGTGGTTAAATACCAGTACTGTTATCAAGCCACTTTTAACCATTAATGCATCATTATTAGGTTTTCTATAATTATTGTCATAAGTATGGTACTTTTTAGTTTTGCACAGCCATCCAACCTTAACATTATTCTTCCATGTTTCTTATTATTCACATTGTAATATGCATGAATCTCCAGTTGTTTTCCACAGCAAATGATATATATGAAAGTATCGTTAACTGTTAACACCGTGACCTTAGTCCATGTTGCTCCAGCCACTCCTCGTAAATTGACAAACCTCGCCATATGAGCCAAAAACCTTCCTAATCCCCCAGACCCCTTCATCAGATCACCATATTTCCCTATTTGGGGGTTTTCTGCCTCTGGACCCCCACCCAATTGCCATGGACTTCCCCTCCGCAAGGCATGCATTGTGACCTATTTCCTTCATTTCTGACGTCATTTTTTGCTTATGCATGTTATTGGAAACCTCAGTGAGTGTTGTTTTTACTTACCTTTGGTTATGTTAGTGTCATTACATTTTCCTTTAAATGTATACCAGTTTAGTACATGTTGCCTAACTTAGTATCAACTTGTAAAGGAAATACCAAAGATAAAAAGTGACTTATTTTCTATTTTACCTTTTACCGTATGGCTGCGGGAAACTGAAACTATACCAAAAGTACTTGGTGTGATACAAATATTTGATATTTTAAGACTGTGAAAGTATTTATTATATCATCAATTATTTTTAGTTACTGCTAACACTGTAGTTTATCATGCATTAGGTGTTTACAGAAGGTTATTTAAGGCTTAATGAAAACTGATAAGGAGTGTCCATCGGTGGTGTGAGGCAACTTGATAAGATAATGAGTCACAACTTTTTATAAACAAGCACATTCTATATTAGGATGTAAAAGCATAGGGAGCAATTCTCTACAATATATATGCACTTGTCAGAGACTAAGCCTCCAACTTCATGTCACATTTTTTTTTTTTTTTTTTTTTTTTTTTTTTCTTCTTTTTTTTCTTTCTTTTTTTATTCAAGAATTTAAATTGCTGTTGACTGGGCATTACAACCCGACAGGAGGGTTGATCTTATCCCCCCTCTCTGTGCATTATCTATACTTCAGTAAACATGGCAAGACAAGAGCTAAAACTCGAAAGTACCAAGTGAACTTAGGATCTGAGTGACACTTTCCAAGATCTTTTCCTTTATTTGTGGCATTACCATTTGTGTCTGCAGGTTATTTCATGTACTGTTGACTGCAACTGTTTCTTCTCCTCTACATGAGTATTTTCTTCATTTTACCCTAGTTTGGTGCCTCTACACAGTAAAATTTAACCACAGTGTAGGTAGATTACAAATGATTATAATATGAGAATATTGTCAATTTTTGGAATAAGACCAAGGGAAGATTGAAGAAAAGAGGCAATAAAGGATACATAAAACAATGTAATTAGGTAGAAGACATAAGCTGTTGAAATTAATAGTTAACCCCGAAGTGTATATCAAAATATGCAGAAGTAGATGAAGTCTAGGAAAGACTCCCCCCAAAGGCCATCAAATCTCCACAATGTATATTTATTTTGCCAAGATAAAGTTTGTCAACCACCCTGGCATTTTGTCATCAAATGAGAAAACGGTCCCAGCTCTTGTTTTGTTGAATACATGTGATAAAGGTTTGCTGGTCTTTGGCTAACTGTTTAGCATTGGCATAGAATAGTTCCTCATATAGGAATGTATCAGATTTATAGTGCATCAATAAAATGAAAAGTTGTAAAAGTAATGGGAATTACATTGTTGCATGTTTGTTGGGAGCATCAATTGCCGTATATTATGTCGAAAGCCATGGTTGTGGCACATTGGATTGTAGGGTTAAAGAAGAAAAAATACTTGCAATTTTTTTAAATTAGCATAGCTCCCACAGGGATCCATGGTAATGGGGATGTAAACACCTAAATGCAGGGTCTACTACTAAAATATTGCTCCACACAACACTCCAACAGAGATAAAGTATTTGATGTCTCATGCTTACCAGTAGTAGTTTTTGTATTTTATTTTATTTTATTTATTTTTTTATTTTTTTATCTCCCATTAAGATTTGTGGGTATGTATGTGTAAAAGTCTGAAAGGCAGTAATATAGAAAGAATGATCGTGAATAGAAAGATAATGGAAATTAAGCTAATGACTTTCTTAAGAAGGTGAGACCAGTCCCTTAAGTAAAAAAAAAAAAAAAAAAAAAAAAAAGCATAAGATACTCACCAGATAAGCACACGTTCTCCTTATCATCCTCCTCAAACAAACTTTGTGTGTAACTTCCTTTTAACCTTCATCAGGCGTGATGGAGAGCCCTCGGCTGACGCCCAGGAAGAGGTGGTGCCGTACCGTCCCACAACCTGCCAGGCACCAACCATGATGGACATTGGCACCAGATCCATCTTCAATGAAGACCATGACATCTTCAGATCCTCAGTCAGAAAATTCTTCAATGAGGAAGTTCTGCCTTACCATGCTCAGTGAGTGGAATTGAATTTTTAGTAATTTAGATTTGAATATTTTTTGATGTTATACACAGTTTTTATTACTTGTGTTCAAGTTAGATAGAAATGTCAGTGTTTCTCACTCTGTTCTTATTGTGGAGGGAGCCTGTTTTTCATTCATCATCAAATTTTCATACAGAACAGGCTTTTTTAGTACCCTTTTAAGGAATAATCATTATTTTAATGGCAAGTTTTTTTGTTTTTGTTTTTTTAATTGATAGCAGGAAGGATTATCCTTTCCACTACCTGACTTAGATACTCAATACTGTTATTATTCAATCTTTCAGTCTACAGAAGATGAACTTTCTTTTATGTGAGATAGTCATAAACCCTCAACTGAAATATAACTTTGCAATTGTTGAAAACTCTTACTCTTTTGTCAGGTGGGAAAAAGATGGCCAGATCTCTCGTGAATGTTGGCTGAAGGCTGGTGAGCAGGGTCTTCTCGGAACTGACACTCCTGATCAGTTTGGAGGCATTGGAGGTGACTTCAAAGATGCAGCTATCATTATGGAAGAACAGTAAGCGGTGTTACAGAGACATTTAGTTTTGGAATGTGGAAATGATAACATGTTGCTTTTAGCTATATTATTCAGTTTAGTAATAGATGATAAATTATTTATTATGCAGTTTATGACTTCTCTTTTCTCTTTCAGATCATATGTCAACTGCTCCGGTCCAGGTTTTGCTCTTCATTCTCAGATTGTGATGCCATACATTACACACTATGGTACCCAAGAGCAAATCGACAAATACATCCCTGACATGGTGGCCGGGAAGAAGATCGGAGCCATTGCCATGACTGAACCAGGTGCCGGAAGGTAGGGTTGGACTTGGTGCCTCGGGATTTCAGATGTTCTGTTGTAGTCTGGATACATCTTTGAAGAATGGTGTGAAAATGCATGTAGGATTGGTGACTGAATTTTAAAGTGAAATGATTGTAAAATTTTTAGCAATGAAATTTTGTGGAGAAATATGATGGCCACTGTAATACAGTGCTTTTTTAATAAAAGATTAGATATTAAGGCATAGTACTAGTATTAAAGCAGAATGTTTATTCAGATATTGTCTTGACCATTTTAGCTTAATCATACCAGATGTCTAGTCATATTGCAAACCCAGCCAAAGTGGTGAGTGGCATGTAGCCATGCTACACAGAATCAAACCAACTTTAAGATGTGAGCACAAAACAGGCGTTTGCTTGCTTTCCCCTGTCTGGAGTCATTGATGAGATATTGCTCCTTGAAAGTAGGCTGAGGCCTCTTTTGAGTTTCATTTAATAAAACTTTCTGTGATATAGTAAAAAAAAAAGAGATCAAGGTAGATGTGTGTTTCATGCATAGCTGATGCACACAAAATGACATAAGGAAAGGCTGTTATGAATGGGCTAAAGTGTGTATAATCTGTTTCTCAGTTTCAATGCAAGTGACTTTTCTCTGGTAGATACAAAAGAAAATATTATAAACAGATTAAGAAGGAAAAAATATATCTGTATACATATAAGTATAGTATGAATTAAGGGCTAAATTCCATCATCAGTCAAAATAGAAATACTCTTATTAGTACTTTATCAGTTTCTCACACTTTATCCCTCCTCAGTGACTTGCAAGGAGTCCGTACGAATGCACGAAGGGATGGTGACGACTGGATTCTGAACGGCTCGAAGACTTTCATCACCAATGGCTACATGAGTGATGTGGTCCTTGTGGTAGCTGTGACCAACCCAAATGCCAAGGCTGCAGCTCATGGTATTTCACTGTTCTTGGTGGATGAAGGGATGGAAGGCTTCAGGAAGGGACGTAAGCTCGAGAAAATGGGCATGAAGGCTCAGGTAAGAAAGTTGTCCGTGTTTTCTATAATGCTTAATATTTAAGGAGGACATCACATGTAGTAACTGTGTTAATATTTATAGGAAGAAATAATCAGTTAACTAGAGGTAACTTTTTTTTTTTTTTTAAGATGTTGGTTATTGTGATTGTGATAATTTTATGATTGTTATAAGATGTCCCTTTGATTTTAGGATACTGCTGAACTGTTCTTTGATGATGTACGTCTCCCAGCTTCTGCCCTCTTGGGAAAGGAGAACCATGGCTTCTATTACCTAATGAATGAACTTCCTCAGGTAAGTTCTAATTCTGTTGTTTCAGTTCTAGGGGGAAAATGATGATTTTCTTCATCATCATCATCTTCAAAGAGTGATGTTGCTTTTACATATAGGTTGTTCTGGTAAAGTTTTCTATTCTGTTAAACTTTATACTTATGAAAGCTTGTCAGAAGATAGGAAAAATATGAGTCATAGCGAAAAACAACATGGAAGAAAGGGTTATAAATGTTTTTGTATGTAGAATTCTACTAAATTTTTATATTCTATGCATTTCAATATAAGTTGTTTTTTGAAGTAAAGGTACAGTAACTTTTTGATCATGTGATCAAAAAACAAAATTTTGATAACATAGTTGAGTGATATTCCCTTATCAATAGAGCCATTCTATGAGCCATAGAGGAATAGCTGCATATCCTTCTGAACCCAGGTTGGTGCATGGATTTGTGGATTTTTTTTTTGCAATCTTAATACAGTGACAATGGTGTATAGCTTTATTTTAATGTGGAATAAAAGCTTACTGGGGATAGTAGAGTGGGGGTGAAGGCGACATGCTGCTAGTCAGGAATTTTCCAAGACAGAATCCGTGTTATTTGTTGCCCTTTTATTCATTTTCACTCTTTTGTCACTATTGTTTCATGAATGCATTAACTCTTTGGATTTAGGTGCCTTGCTGCCCAAAATCTGGGCATTTAGCATCCTTGTGGCTAATAGTAGGCCTGGCCCACACAAAGATATGTGTGGGTTTCTTTTTTTTCCAAGGCCTATATTTGTCATTTGGTGTGCCGTTTCAAGATAATAATAGATAGCCTATAATTCTGTGCAATAACGATAACATTATTATTTGTATTTTTATATTTTTGTAATATTCAATTTTCTGTGATACTTTGCTGCTGGTCAGGTTGGATAGGAATAGGATCTTGAACATGGAAATTGTCATCCCTAGAGTTGGCACTCTTCTACTCTTGGCTCAGACTCATTTACTAATGGAAATAATGCTAGATCCCCTTCCTAAATACCCGTCAATTGTAATCACCTTTTAAGAGCTTTGTGCATTCGTGGAAAGTCATTCCTGTCACCCCAGCTTTCAGCCAATTTTTTCATGACCGCATATTCACCCTGGCCTCTTGTCAATTTTCTCCAATGTGGCATCTTCCCATCACTTGGCCTATATGCCAAATATTTTTCATGGCATGATGGTCATATAACCTGGATCCAATTGATCAACTGTGTTTCACTCTTTCATCATTAGGATTCTGAAAATTTATCATAGGTCTGCAAACCCATAGGGAACAAAAAATAAGAAACTACAATATGAAATTAAATATTATTAGAATAAAAAAATGCATTGCAGAATATGTATATATGTACTGTTAACTAAAACCTTGTGCTCAGTTTTAGAGAACAAAAGCGCACATGAATGGTACATGTCAACTTTTTAGCCACTGAAACAGACTTCCACATTAGCACACACTCAGGGCTGTTGATTGATGATGTTAATTTTCTCTTAAATGTATATTGGTTGATGCTAACACAGATAGAAATAATTTTAAAAAGTAACAGTGGTGAACACAGCTGATTTGGGAGGATTAAAAAATCATATCAAACCTGAAAAATAAGATGATCCTCATGACTAATAACTGATCTCCTGTATTAGTTTACGCAACACATTAGATGCAAGGAAAAGGGCAGTTTCCAGCAGATATTAACCCATTCGCCCCATGTGGCAAGAATACATGCCATGCCCACTGTAATGCACGTTTATTTATTGTATTTACACATAGGTGGCTCTACAAGTTCTTAATCACCAAATAGCCAGTTTATCAGAACTACCTATCTCACCTGTTTACCCTTTTCCTTCACTTTAGGAAAGTTTTTTTGTATCATTCCATTGTCTAAAATATATTAATGACAATTTAATAATCATGATGTCAAAAACAATAATAACAGCATCAATAGCAATGGTAATAATTTTCCCGCCAATTCAATGAATGGGAAAATCAGGATTGGTAACTAAGGCCTACTGATAGATTCCTTGCCGGCTGAGCACATGTGGAGCCATGTGTATGTAACAAAATTTTCCAAAAACAAAAACTACAGAGGACAGAACATAAATCCAGGGCAAATGGGTTAAAGTTGATTTATTGCAATTTGTAGAATACTTTTTATTGTATTTTTCTTTTCTTTTCTTTTCTTTTCTTGTCTTGTCTTTTCTTCTTTTTTTTGTAACATTTTATTTAGCTCTTACATCATATTTCCTGCAGGAACGTCTTCTCATTGGTATTATGTCCTGTGCCAATGCTGAGTGGCAGTTTGAAGAAACCCGTGCCTACCTGCGCTCAAGAAAGGCCTTCGGAAAGACCCTCTCAAACCTCCAGGTGAGTTGTCAGTTTGCTCGAGTCATTTTTATTTTTAATTTAGTTAGAAAAATAGAAGCACTGTTATTTTATCTTTGTTCCTGGTTTTGATACTTGATGTTGATGGTGTATAATAGTAGCTTTTTCAGCATGTCACATTTAATATATTTATTTAATTTTGACAGACAATTCAGCATAAATTGGCCGAGATAAAGACTGATGTCTGTGTTGCCCGTGCCTTTACCGATCAGTGCATTGAC